CCTTCTATTATAAAATTGGAAGAAGGCGTCATTTCCTACCGAATGGGTGGAAGAATGAATATTTTTATGCATATTTTCCATGAAATATAGTTGAATCTTAACGGATATCGAAAATCAATGAGAAAAATTCATGCTACTTAAGTAGTCGTTTTTTACGGGGCGTAGTTTTTGTATGCAGCCGGATGGAAGTTCATTCGACAGCCGGCATCCTGAGGTAACCAAATATTATAGAATTATGCTGTAGGCTGACTAGTTTTCCAACCCTACTTAATTAATCTTTTCGAAACGAAAACGCATTTCGGAATTTCGGTTGACATTTCATGAGTTAGCCCACCTACTGTATGTAGAAGTTTGGGGAACACGGTATTCGGTTATGTAAGCCGTTTAAACCATTGACTAAATAAATCGAGGCACAACCATCTACTGAAAATCAGCCAAGTAGGAGCGCTTGGCTGGCTTTCGTGCCAGCACCAGGCGGAGGGTGCGCACGGTGTTGATGTCTGAGAGCATAGCAACTGTCTAATGGCAGCTGTTTAAGTAAAATGGCAGCACAACAGAAACCTGACAACGTGGCAGCCACTGGCAGGCAGTAGTCTGCTACTGGAATCCTTTTTCTAAAGACAACCAGACAATCTGAACTTGAGTTGAGTACGCTGAGCAGCATAAGCGTCCCAGAAGCTCATGTCACCGGAGGCGGTCCGGCGACAGTTCGACCGTAACTAACGAAGGCGTCCACGGCATGCCCCGCGGAGTGGGCGCAATACCAATGACCTGCGCATGAAGCAGTTTGTAGTGATAGTAGACTTGTGCAGCGTCTAACGCACCCTCTCCTCCCCCACCCACCAGGCCCCGACTGGAGGACAATGTCAAGACGATCGGAGGTGGGCCTGGGCGCAGTAGTTGACAAAGTCAACCAGCCAGTCTACGCATGGCACACAGCACATCAGGTTTTCACTGGAAGGGGATTCCGATCTAACGTCTGTGAGTGTCACAAAGGCATCATTAAAAGGGAGCCACTGAGACTGACTCTCCGTCCTCCTGTAGGTCATCCCAAATGCACACGCACACAGTACCGGCCACGCGGAACCAATCATCGCGTTAGTTAGCAGCCTTACAAGCCACGACCTTGAGCGCGTCGTGAGGGGCTTGAGCATGACTGATTTATCATTGGAGGAATGCGCTGATGTGACGCGGGGATGGGTTCCCCGGTGTCAACCTCACTTTTTGTTGCCTCTCCCATGCAACAGGCTGTCATGCATGCGTGTATGCGTTGGAGACGGCAAAAAGGTCACTTAGAGTAGTCTTGACATTGCCAAACAAGAACGAATTAGCAGTATTCGGGGTCAGGAATGACGGATACCCGAGTTAGAGCTGTTCACTCCCAGAGGATGAGAAAAACCGGGGGCAAGAGCCTGTCCATAATAGGAACAAGCTAAATTTCCTACACAGACTAAGTGAGAATTTTTGTAGGGTAGCATGCCCAAGCGGAGTCAAGTTTATGATCTGTTGAAGTAGCCTAGAGGAAGCGCGAGGGTTAACCGGGAAGCTTATTGGCTACCGACGAGTCGATGAGTGGAGATTGCCTACGAAACCCGAACCCGGATGAACCGCTTTGAGGTCAGAGAAAGGGATATCATTCATTTGACCCAGTTGCGAGGAGATTCTGCGGTCTCGGTGAGATTCGAACCCCATGACAGAAAGAGCAAGGCTTGAGTACAGCTGACGCTCTAAACACCTGAGGTACGAGGTCCCGCCGGGAGCCGTGAGTTTAATTAAATCTTGGTCAAGTTACCCGCTCAGTCTACTGCAACGTATGGAATCTACCAATGCTGGTACAGTAGACTGACTGTCCGAGCAGAATTTATTCAGTAATCAGTCTAGAATCCACCAGATGACTACCAGGCTGACTTAATTAATTGAGACATCAAAAAAAGACCAGAAATGACAGTTAGACCGTCGTTGCCGACGATGCCCACCGTATGCTCCACGGAAAGGTGATGCAAGGACGGTGAACTGTGCGTGAATTAGTTTATAGTGAGTGTAGACGTGCGCAGCATCTACCGCACTCTCCTCCTCCCCCACCTGGACCCGGTGTCAAGACGTAGTTAAGAAGACCGGAGGCGGGGGAGGGCGCAGGTGGATGGCACGGTCGAACCCCCACCTTGGCGTTCCACTCCCCACCCCCTGGTCCAGACAGCAAATGACCAGGTTTTTGATCATCACCAGCAACAACAACACCCCAACAGGGGTCAGGAGGACGAGAATGACTGGGCAGCCATGTCCATCACCTGTGTATACCCAGCGGGGACGCAAGCGCATCTACAGGCAGGGAAACAGGTGTCAGGGAACTGCCAGCGCATACCAGGCTGCGAGGGCCATGGTTTGCTGATACTGGCATAGCACACGCTTTCAAACCTTTTGACCAAGACCAGCAATAAACGTAGTCACAAAGACAGGCATGTTCCCTCCGCTCTTCGCCAAATGACACCCCCGTTCACTTAGAGCTGTACTTGTGAGGTTGAAATGGATAGGCAGGTTTCTAGTTTGAGGGGTACTGCATAACGTACAGCCAAAGTTTCGCGGTGGTCCAGCAGGCTGCTCTCTTGCCTTCGGCCCAAGGCATTGGTAGAAATGGCAGATCAGGTCACCATAGGCAGGACGAAGACGGTGTCTGCACGCATTCAGCAGGCGTAGTCTCGTCCGGCTGCGTGTTCCCACGAAATGCCTTGCTGAGCCATTAAGTTATCGCATGCCATTGGTGATTGAGTAATATTTTTTCATGTAAATTGCAGCGACCCTATATCGGGCGCCTGTCGGCAAATTTGACATCTTAGGTCCCGCCAATAAATGACCCAAACTCACTCACTCGTGATGGTTAAACAGCGCTGAACGATCTACAGCCAATCCAAGACCAATAATGCTAGAATGTTCTACGCGAAAGGTACGCCCGGCTCCGAAAAACGGGTCGGTACTTGCTTTTCATGGAGAAATAACAATTTAATTTGGAGGGGGCGTCCACGCCGACCTGGTATTACCGAAATGAGGCGTCCAGACAGTAAGAGTGGGGTTACAATGTCCACTTTTAAAGGTTGAAAGGAACTGCACCTATCTGGGAGTCGCTATTGTTTGTACCAGCATACAATCCAGGGCGTGTCCTGAAGCAGACCGGAGTCGTTCTCTTCTTTGACGCCAAGACACCCGTTTGGAGTACCTTCGCGACCACACATAGTGCTTCAGGTGATGTTCTTTACAGCTGATTCTCTCAAGGGAGTTCAGTTTGTATCGTGCAGAATAAAAGACAGCCACAGTCACGGAGAAACTAAAGTCACTAAGTGGAAGATTACAACCTTAGACTAAAGAGGTTATAAAGATTGATCAGATTATTTCCGAGATGTTAATAGCCCTCCAAAGGCGCGACAAACTAAAAAAAAACTCTGGAATACATTGCTTTATCTTTGGGCCACCAGCTGCCCTCGCTAGAAACGAATAATCATGAATGGCCCAGCAATCCCTTCGTCAACTACGAACGCACATGTCCGGCGAAGGGAGGTCATTCTGATTTCTAAAGGGGCCGTTTGGTGAAAAAGAGTTGGCGGTAGATTAGATAACGATTCAAAGCCAAAAGCTGCGCTTGAGCCAGTTTTCACTGTCGGTTGGGTCTTGGGAGCCCTGCGGAATCAGATTATTGGTCTCGACTTAAAGCAAAAACGACAGCGACATTGGATGGATGCTGGAATGCGTGCTAGCACTGCTGACTACCCAGTTGAGTTCCTAGTTTACTGGCTCTCAAAAACGATTTCGTGTGTCGCATTACCCAAACAAAAAACTGCCGGAGGAGTGTGCCATCTCATGTAACGCAGATCGAAGTTCTAGAGTGCCCTAGCGTCCACCAAGATTTATTCTGACCCACCTTAACATTCAGGCTCGCTGG